TTTGCAGGGCTCATTATATACCTGGCAGTATCTCTGGCACTTTCACATGTGGTTTAGCTGGACATCTTGGGTGAGCATTGTTTTGGCAGCAAATCTGTAATTTCAATTTGTGACTGGGTATGTAGTTAGTGGCACGATTCCAGCGCGGACGGGCCCCCCCCGGCTAGGTTCAGTCTAAGTGGAGTGGGTAACAGTAAAGCCACAGCAGCAGGAACTCTGTCCCACTGGGTGGGATCTCAGGTTGCTAAATGGACTGTATTTTATCTGTGCCACTGCATCTTCACTGCTACAGTTAATAATTTAATGTAATTCTACTGAATTAGTGTATGTATACGTACATGTGCTGTAGTCAGGCTTTCAGTTTCCTCGCTGACGCAGCCCTGACTGGAGCTGGTGCAGGGTGTTACGCAGACATCTCGCCTTTCATCTCGCCCGCAGCTGTGAGTCACCACAATCCTGAAATTTGGTGATTTATTCCCCTTTTTCCTGTGACAAGTGTTCTTTGACAGGAGAAAACTGAACAGCAGCAATGTTGAGGCGCTTTTATATCTGCGGGCACAGTCATAAGTAATTCAGAAAGAGTTATTTAAGGTTTTGAATTTCAGTGAACCAAAAATCCGTTTTTGATTTGAAACTGATTTTGAAATGCCTGACTTCAGAAATAAGCAGTTAAACTTCCAGAAGTAAGAACCAGTCTTTTGCTCTCTGTTGTAACTAGACTGTAGTAACAGTTGGACACTAGGTATTCAGGTGGTTTTTCTGACTCTAGACCCAAGCTCAAGTTTTAAATCAGTAACCTGGTCAGTAAATAACCAGAAGGTGCTGCTGGACGGGGCGGGGATCAATCTGAGACGTGTGGCTGTGGATGCAGTGGCTTTACAAAGAGCATTGTCTGGTATGGACTTGTTCCCAGACAGTGCTCTAGCAGGGCTTTTTAATATGTCTGTTTAAGAAACTTACAGAAAGCTCTTTTAAATCCTGTAGTATCTTTTTGCACAGTTAAAAGCAAGGAGTCCTGAATTTGTGATCTTTTTTTAAGTGAGGTAGACTGCGCTGAGGTATATTGAGACAATGCTGTTTTGCAAAAAAGAAATGTTGCTATAAATGAGGTAATTTTATACTTCTCTGTATTGCTGCAGTATCTTTCCAGACAGCTTTATTGAGGATGTGTTAATGAATCAGACCCACATTATTTTTTTTAAATAAAATAAAAAGTGTTTGCTTGAATTCTGTTTTTAAGCAGTATGCAGAGAAATGCCCACCCTGTCTCATACAGTCGCTAGACCAAGAGCCACAGATAACTCCTAGTGATAAATCTCATTCACAATTACTGCAGGAGACTTTACTTCTGCACTCCTCATAATTCTAAGTGCTTGTTATTTTTTTTTTTTTTGACAAGCTTCTAAATTTGCATGTCAACTAATTAGAGAATCCCAGCTTTCAGTTGTGAAACTTGGGGAAAAACCCCAACACCACTCTCTTCAGTCTCTCCTGTCCCTTTCTAGAGAAGAAAAGCTTAGAAGTGTGATTTTTTTGAAACTTAAAGATTACAAAAGTAAAAGCCAAACAAAAATATGCAAAATGGAACTTCAAAAACATTAGAATTGTATTTATTCTCACAATTTCAGGGTCATGATTTGTGAAGATTTGGGGTTAGAAATACTGTAACTAGGTCAAGTAAATGAAGTATAAAATAGCTTCACAGTTATACTTTGTCAGGTGAGTAGTCAACCCTTAAATTGTCCGTTCCATCACCTTTCTTTCTTTGACAAAGAAAAAATTTAATGAATCTTTATCGAGAAGATGTCAACACTGGTATTAATAATTGGAGATGTATTTGGACTCCGTTGTGGAAAATGTGGAAGCTAAGAATTTGCTGTGGGCTGCAAAGGGAGAACAAAGCACCGTGGACTGCACCTCCCCTCGCCGGGCCGGCAGCGGTCTCTGCCCTGCCGCGGGACCCAGTGCTCCCAGGAGGTACAAGGCGTAGCTGACGTCCAGAAAATAAATGGACAAGCAGGATTTGGAGAGTGTGGAGTAGAGGGTTTCTCTGCTGCCCACAAGATCTTCAGGTGGCCGTGTGAGGACTTGGCTGGCCTGACTCCCTGGCTGGTTGTCCGGGGGAGCTGGGTGTCTCGCCATCACGCCGTCCATGTGTCTGCCAAGGGTGCTGCTCCCGGCAGGGCTGTACGTAAGTCCTGTGCCATTTGTAGAATGTTGTATGTGTAGAAATGTTGAGAAGAGCAGCGTCTTTTTTAGCACAGTGTCACATGACTTTGTTTTAAGGAAACTAGAAAAATATGGTCCATGTGAAAACTCAAGTTTAGAAACAAACATACTGGAAATCCGTGCTGAGCCGATGGTTACTGTTAGTGCAGGTCGAACTGGAAGCGTGTCCTGAGTATGGGGGCTGCTTTCAGTTTGGTTCAGGGGCTTCAGTAATTGCTTGATTGAGGGGAAAAAATCCTGAAATACTGATCACACTTAAAGACAGTACCAAGGCGGCAGAGGTTTCACACGCCCTGGAGAACGGCATTAGGATGCAGAATTATCTTGACAAAATGGAAAGGTTGTCTTAAATAGGATTCAGTTCACTAAGGGCGTACGTGGTGTAAGAAGAAACTAAAGAAGGTCAAGTTACGCCATTTCTACCTGTATCTGGGGGTAAGGTATGTGCCTTTGCTGTTTGTAGCACGTTTTCAGGGAGTCTGAAGACCATGCATGTAAACGCTAAGTCTGTAAATTCCATCTGTAGGTATGGAAACCTCACAAAGGCAAAATATGACGAGTTCTCAGAAAATACAGAGTTTCTGAGAAGCAGGAAAATACAAGTTGTTTTCCACGTCTGCTGAGTTGATGGCAAAAAATACCTTGCTGAAATTAAACAGAGGAGAACTAGGTGAGATGTCAGCCCCCCTTCTCCCACAGACCTTTCCTGGTGGGAAGGCTAGCCTACGCAGCGGTGTGGCTTTGCCTGGGGACATCGTGAAACCTTGGGCACCGAGTGTTTTCAGAGGCAGGCTAGGTGAACATTTGTCAGGAATGATTTGGGTGTACTTGATCCTGCCTTGGGGCAGAGGTGGGGAGAGCAGGTGACCTTCTGAGGCCCCGTTCAGCCTTACGAGGCTGTGAGCGAACCCAGCAATGCGGGCACCCCGAACGCTGGCACTGCTGCTCTGGAGTTTTGCTGTTGCCTCACACTCTGATGAGTCTGATGGCTTCTGTCGTATACATTGCCGTAAAGCTTTGGGATAACTGTGGAGTTGGTGTATTTAGCAAAAAAGCAGTATACAGCTGGATATGTGGTGACTGGGTTTATTTCTGCTGTTGTGTTCTGGAGCATCTGTAGGGTGACGTGACTTGGGCTGTTGCTAGCAGTGAGCGTGGCAGCAAGTCCAGAAGGTGAAGACTTGGGGAGAATTTCAGCTGCTGCTGGTGCTGTGCTGAATGCCCTCTGCTCGCCTGCCTGCCTGTCCTGCCAGCCCCTGCTCGGAGACCACCCGTCCTCATCCTGTCAGCTGCCCCGCACCGTTCCCAGGGGATGGAGGTGGAGGAGGAGGCAGAAGGCGTTTGGCAGGTGGCCGGCCGTCTTAGCTCACGTGCTCAGGCATTGCTCAAGCATCCCCTCTTATTATTAGGAGGTATAAAAAGTCATAGTAGGAATATGAAAATCATAGTAGGAGTTAGCACTGGAGCTGCTCTCAGTGGGGTGGGGAGCTCCCCCAAAAATGTAGATGAGACCAGGACGAGAGAATAACTGGGAATTTGGCAGGAGGTGGAGGATGAAAGGGAAGCAATGACAGGTAGCTAGGGACTGAAAGGCAGAAGGGATGTGATGGAAAATGAGAAAGGTTCAGAAAGTTGGACAGTGGTTGAATGTGGGAGAGAGGGATTGGAAGAAGTGGACTGGGTGGGATGGGAACAGGATTGGTACGAAAATTAAGGAGAAGATAGGTAGAGGGTGGGTAGCTGTGTGGCCGAGGGGCTTGTACCTGCGAAGGACCACAACTCCCTGCAGTAATTTCAGGAGAGTAACTGTGTGTGGACTCTGGGGACAGGCTCAGTGGATGGTGCTTCCAGCTCCTCGGTATCACCGTTGGCTGTGCTGGTAGAAGCCAAACGGAGGGAGATCACAGGTGCTGCAGCACTCCTGGCCTGGAAGAAGGAGGTTCCTGTGGGTCGGGAGTCCTTGGGAAGCGGCAGCAGATCTGCCCCGAGGCAGCCCGTTTTACCAGCCTGCGGTGTGGAGCGGGACCCAGCTTAGCTGTCTGTGCGTGAGAAACCAGCTGTGAGCTGGGGTACCTGGGGGCTGCGTGTGGACAGGGAAAGCGCGACGTGGAATTGGTCGCTTGCGGCTTGCGTATGCGGCTTGTGTGGACGGGGACGTTTCTGAGCTAACCAGCCTAGTTCTCGACAAGGGAGGTGTGTGTGATGCTGTTCAGATCTATGTTGGACTTTCACTGATCCATGATTTTTAGGAAGAACACAGTGATGACATGCTGCTTTCTATTCTTAATGGTAAGGTTAATGAAGATGTAATATTCCACTTTAGTCCTGGTTCTGAACAATTCAGTGATATTAGGGAATCTTTCTTTTCTAACAGTAACGCCAATTCGTAGTGACAGAAAAAAAGTTCAGATTTGTGATGCTTTAGGAACAAACTTCCACTGACATTTTCGCTGAGGCTGATGTTGAGGCCCTTCCTCCCTGAAAAACCCTGGAGAATTGAGTGGGAAGGTTTTGTTTTGGAGTGTCAGAGCTTTTCTCCCCAATTACCTTCTGTCCGCTGAAGTGAGAAGGCAGCGCGCTGAGCCCCGTGGAAGATGAGCCGTGGCTCTCCTCGTGCCGGCGTGGGCACTGGTTTATGAGCGTTGCCATAGGGACCAGGTTCTAGTTATCAGCTCAAACAACTTCATGTAAGATTAATGTTAATTGCCCATTTTGCATGGATGACTTTTTTCCTCCTGCT